TTAAGTTTAAGTTAATATTAAGTTTTTTGTTGATGGTAAACTTAAGTTTAAGTAAACAGTAAACTTAAGTTAACAATATTTTAGTTAAGTAAACTAGTTTAAGTTTATTGTTAACTTAAATTTAACAGTAACTTATAAGTTAACAATAATTTGAGTTGAGAATGAGTTTTTCACTGTTGAGATGAACTTATAATTTGAGTTGAGAAGTATAAACATACAAAGAGCTATTGTAATTGGTAAACCAAGCAATTTAGTTAATAGTATTGGTACTTTAGTATTTATGCATCTTTGATTGAGTATATATATATATTTATCTTCAAGTATCACAATTAAAAAAGAAAAAAGAAAAAAAAACGCCTAGAAACCGCTTAGGCGCCCGTCTAGACGACTAAACGCTGGGCGCCAAGTCCGACGCCTAGATACGCCCAACGTTTAATGTAACATTGATTGGGACTCACCATGAACTGAATAACTATATTCATAGGTAGACGTGCAAAAACTATATGGTTTTGAGACCAGTTCATGATGTACGTGGACTCGATAACCAGGCTCAAGTCTCAACAATCCTGGTTACTGCAAAACATAGTTGTATGCCCCATCGTAAAAGTTTTCTTGACATACTTGGTCATCGTAACTCGTGAGAACTCGGAGAGTTACTTGGTAGTGAGATTGGTGCCTCTATGCGGTTGTCATGATCTATAACTAAAGAAAACTGAATTGGGACTAACCATGAACTCAATAACTATATTCATAGGTAGATGTGCAAAAACTGTATGGATTTGAGACCAGTTTGTGACGTACCTGGACTTGATACCCAGGCTTAACAATCCTGGTTACTGCAAAACATAATTGTATGTCCTGTTGTGGAAGTTTTCTTGACATTATTGGTCATCGTAACTCGTAAGAGCTCAGAGTTTCTTGGTAATGAGATAGGCATCTCCATGTGGTTGTCATGATCTATAACTAAAGTCAATGCAATCTGTAAAGATTATGTAGTGCTTTATCTTACTTCTATCTGTTATAGTATGGGATGTCTGTCTCATCTGTAAATTTCTTTTAGCTGAACTTATCATAATATAACTGCACACAGCGCCATGATAGTCTCTTATTGTGGAACCTTGGACGAACTTTTACTGAAGGCTTTGAGTCCTTTTTTCAACTCATTTTTTATTCATATGTAAAGGCTGTAAAATTTAGCATAAATTTGATCAAGTCTCTCGTGATTCATGATTGCTATTGTTGCAGGCACTAGACTACTGCCATTCACAGGGAATTATGCACCGAGATGTCAAACCTCACAATGTCATGATTGATCATGAGCTCAGAAAGCTTAGGTTGATTGATTGGGGACTTGCTGAGTTCTATCATCCTGGCAAGGAATATAATGTTCGTGTGGCTTCAAGGTAATCTTGGTTAGCAGATGCGTTATTGTCTATTGCTGTTGGTCTAATCATTATTATTTATCATACATCCATCACTGATTTTCTGATTTTCAGCAGCTTAAATAAGATAATTCCTTTCATTATGCTTCACCTTTCGAGACGGTACATTTCTGAACTGCTTGGTGTTTGTCATAAAAGCAGAGGATCCATTTACCTCCAATATTGGATTATTTTTAAAGATTTTAGTTGCTACTAATAAAAGGACTCTACCCACTCCTTGGGCACCCAACATTGAAACAAAGTAGTCCAGAAAAGGACTGTAGAAAAGACTGAACGGACAGTGTATGTCATATTGGCATTAGTCATCATCACGTAAGTTTAGATGGTCAAACCCATAAATTACACAAGTAAATGCTTTCTAATGCAACCGATTGACAAGTTCTTTTCATTCTCTTGAGTGATCACGCTTACTTTGTGTCTCAACAAACATGAATGCTTGCTAATCTTATTTAGGCCTGTTTCATCCTCTTGGCATACCAACTAGAGTGTGTCGGTACAACCCACCATTCCCCGAAAAGAAAAAGAAAAAGAAAAAGAAAATAGAAGAAAGATTAAAATAAGGAAATAGTGAAACTCAAAGTTAAATCAGATATTTGTTTTCCGTCCTCATAGCTTGGGTTTTTTGGGAAACAGTTTGAGGACTTTTTTTATTTTACCTGGATATGTGAAAATAGGTCTCATCTGGTTATGCCCCTACTCTATCTTGGTAAATGGACAGCTGATGGATATTATTTGCAGGTATGGAGCATATCTCAAAGTGAATAATTAGAATCCATATTTGAAAGCATATGGACTTTTGATCTTATAAACACTTAGTTGGGGCAAGATAAAAAAACGGAAGAAAATAATTATTTCTATCTCCAAATTCCTTAAAAATCTCCTTCTTTGGTTCTACATAGGTTAGTCATTTAGGATTCATAAATTCTTTTCAGTGGGAATTGTAAGAAGTTTCTATGGTGTTCTTAGAATGAAAAGAATAGGGATATGCTATCTTTATTAGAGGAGATTGGCGTTAATCAACCTTGCACCTTGGTTTCAGCTTAAAAGATTCATTGTAACCTTCTTGGTCTTTTGGATGATGGTAGGAACTACAGATTTTTTTCCAAAAATCCACTGAAGTTTGAGGGATATTTGATTTGAAGATACTGTAATAATATGGCAGGCTTGTATTAATTGTCACCTTGAATGATTTGAAGATCTTGTACAGTGGCAAAGTAGGGGAATGTAGGTATTGATTGTCACCTTGAATGTCCCTGCACTTTGTTTGATGAGTTTCATCATATTATCTCTATTCTGTTTAGTGCCTAATGACTGTGGCTTTCTCTTGTCTTAATGACATCTAACTCTCCACTAGAGATCAATTACTGATCTATTAATGTAGATAAAAGTTGCAAATACTTATGTTTCTTTCTTGAATTCTTTAAAGTTACCTTATGATTACTCGAATGTTTCAGGTTGTTACTGCTTAGTTCTAGAACAAGATTTTCAAACAACCATGTTTCTAGTGGCCTATGTCTAGTAATCATGTTTTAACAATGCATTCTTAGGAGTGACGCTTGCATGATGTTACTCTTGATGGAATTAAATTTAGAATCCCATGTCAGTTCTTCAGGTTTCCTAATAACTTGATTATTTTCATTTGTCATCCATGATTGCGAAATTATTGCAATTCATGATAAAGGGTGTGTATTCTTTTCTTTCATATCTATAATTTCATATGTATATTTTTTTTGCTGCCAGATATTTCAAAGGGCCTGAACTCCTGGTTGATTTGCAAGATTATGACTACTCCTTGGACATGTGGAGTCTTGGTTGCATGTTTGCTGGAATGGTAATGTCTTCCTTATCTAATAAAAGTTGTTTGCTATTTATCTACTTATGTGCCAATTGTATGCATTCTCATTGTTGACTTCTATCACTTATGATGATTTTGGCACGTTCTCTCTTTGTTGCAGATATTTCGCAAGGAACCCTTCTTCTATGGGCATGACAACCATGACCAGCTAGTTAAAATTGCTAAGGTTGGAATCTTATGCTGGTCATTGGGTTTGCACGAAATGATTATTATTATTATTTTGTGATCTTGCTCTTAGGTTCAAGTCTTCTGCAATTCAATTGCATGGTTCTTGGTGCAGGATCATATAAAGAGTGCCTTCTGAGTTAAGAATTTTGCAGTTCTGAGTTGTGTCTAGAATTGGGTTTCAAGTCAAAATTTTGATCTTTTTTACTTGCTTAGATTCTAATTTGAATTAAAATATGACGGGTTGCAATTTACTGATGAGGAAAGGGAGTGGAAAAAGATGCGGTGATCTTGTTATCATCGTACTTACTGTGATTTTGGTATTCCTAATAGGTTGCCATTAGTTATCATACTTGCAGAAAATGGGTTTTCCAGATGGAGTTGAGTTTGTGTTGTACGTCTAGGATTGATTCCTGTTAATTTTCTATTTCACAGGTACTTGGAACCGACGAACTCAATGTTTACCTAAACAAATATCATTTAGAACTTGATCCTCAACTTGAAGCTCAAGTAGGAAGGTAATTATTTTTTGAGGTTAACAATTTTGCCCAAAAGCTTGAATAAGTAATGGACCTGTGTCTCTTGACTTTCATCTCTCTGATGTTTTATTTTCTGCAGGCACAGCAGGAAACCATGGTCTAAATTTATAAATTCAGACAACCAGCATCTTGTCTCACCTGAGGTGCTTTCCTTTCTCCTTCCTTTCAGAGCATTCTGTTACAAATGTAGTTTGTATTCGGTGTTAACCTTCACTAAGGTTGCAGTTGGTAATAGATCATGAGTTTTGTCTTAATATGGCATGCAGGCAATTGATTTTCTTGACAAGCTTCTTCGTTATGATCATCAGGACAGGCTTACAGCAAGGGAAGCAATGGTAATATAATTTATGTTATTTAGTTCTGGAACTTATCCTTTTTATATACAGGTCCCTAGTTCAAATTTTATTTTAATACATAAGGGTTAGCCTTTTTGTGCATGCGTTAGCTTTATCTTATATCTATTGTAAGAGTGTAACGTAGAACTTCTATTTAATGAAGCGACAGCTTAAGTTAATAGCTTCGGCTTCTTGTCGGTTGCGTTTTGTTATTTGGTGTGTGGGGGAGCACTGAGCAGAATTTGATGGCTTCATAGATTAAGGATTTTGGTCTAATTATAAATAGATGTGAAGAATGAGAGATAAATATGCAATATAGGTTTCTAGAGGATATGGATATATACATGCCACCGATGAAAATGGCAGGCATCATGATCATCATTAATGGCCTTGTCGAAAGGGTTCTGTGGTTAAGTGTGGAGTTTGGATAACTCCATATAGAATCAGTCAAGTCATGGTAAATGGTAGTTTGATATATTGTTCTCTGTTAATTGATGAAAACTTCTAGTCCATGCACATGGAAGTTATGGGAGGGAGGGAGGGAGCTAGTGTAATTCCATATGTGAAGTCTATATGTTATCTGTGAAACTGAATACATATTCGCGAATTTTTCTTCTTTTTTCTTGTCAAATAGCTTAGATGAATGAAATTTTAACCTAAAAAATAAAATTTTCCTCTTTTCTGTTTATTTTAACGATCAGCAATAACAATAATTATATTTATACTAGCTATTTCCCGTTAGTTTAATCTAGAGCGAGTCCACAAAAATTCGTGATTTCTTGATATTTAGTATACTTATTTATTTATTTTATCCGAATCAAAGTTTCAAGGGAGGGAGGGAGAAAGGGGCAGGTCTAGGACCTTGGTAAATGTTGCAGTTCTGGAATTATGTAAAGAGTATATACTTCAAATTCTGGAATCGTTGCATGGGTAATCATGAATGCCCAAATATTCTAAAAGTTCCATGAAGGTGATGTTTGCAAGGCATATTAATAGGAATTGGTGAAATCCTTGGAAAAGGGAAATCCTGAAAGGTTGAACCCTTTGTTCTCTAAAAAATTGTCAAGGGCCTCCTACAAGTTTCTTCCTTCTCTGGCTCCTTGTTTAAAGTTTTCAACTATTATTTAATTGCAAATTTCTTGGGAATTGATAATTGATATTTGGGAATTTGTAATCACAGTCCACGTTACAAAGGGAAAATATAGTTATGCTTTCACCATGTAAAAATTATATGCCCCGGGAACATGGTATAAATGGTGGGTGTAAATGGTACAAGTGGTGAGTGTGTCTCCACATTACTCTTGCTTTGTAGAAGTAGAAGGTTAATAAACGTGTTTATCCATTATTACATGAGAGGAACACAAGTAAGCTTCAGTGGGGAAATTTGTTGTGAATAGAGTTGAAGGGTTAATAAGATGGGGCTGGAGCGAGAAATTTGTGACTCTGTATGAAAACAGGATTTATAAATAAGCTTCTTTCAAGTGGTTTTTGTTGTGGCCTTTTTTTTTTTTTCGGGGGGGGGGGG